ATATATATATATATATATAAATGTATATGTATATATATGTATATATGCATATATATATATATATATATACAGGTGTGTATATATATATATATATATATATAATCCATCCATTATTTCCCACTGATGCACTTTACAGGAAGGGTCAGAGCAGACTCTACCTGCTGAGGAGACTGAGGTCTTGGAGTGCAGGGGGTGCTCCTGAAGACCTGCTTTGACTCGGTAGTAGTATCAGCCATCTTCTATGGTGTTGTGTGTTGGAGCAGCAGCTTATCATCAGCTGAGAAGAAGAAGCTAGATAAGCTCATCAAGAAGGCCAGCTCTGTGCTTGGACGCCCCCTGGACCCAGTGCAGGTGGTGGGAGACAGAAGGACTCGAGCTAAAATAACATCATTGCTGGACAACGTCTCCCACCCCATGCATGAAGCTGTTGCTGAACTGGAGAGCTCGTTCAGTGACAGATTACTGCACCTAAATGCACAAAGGAACCGCAGGTCCTTCCTCCCAGCAGATGTTAGACTCTACAACCATCACTGCTCCCAACAAACTCAATAAGGATTAAATACATGCTGACCTCTGCTAAAACACACACTCTGCCTGTAATACTGTACTGTCAATAGTCTGTCATTCTCAATGTTCCAATACATATTGAACATTATTATTGATATTGTTTATCTTATTTCTTATATATTGTATTGTTTATTAACATTTTAGGAACTTTTGTGTGAAATCTTTAAATCTTTTTATCTTTTTATCTGTTGCTGCTGATACACTGGAATTTCCCATCCGTGGGACAATAAAGGCTGGTTCTATTCTATTCTATTCTATTCTATTATCCCGAAGTCTGGTCGCGGGGACAGCAGCTTGAGCAGGGAGGCCCAGACATCTCTTTCCACATCCACCTTTTCTAGCTCTTCTGGGGGGACCCCAAGGTGTTCCCAGGCCAACCGAGAGACATGGTCTCTCCAGCATGTCCTGGGTCTTCCCCGGGGCCTCTCCCCAGTTGGACATGTCCGAAGCACCTCCCTAGGGAGGCGTCATGGGAGCATCCTTACCAGATGCCCGAACCACAACTTGCTCCTCTCGATGTGGAAGAGCAGTGGTTCTACTCTGAGTCTCTCCCGGATAACTGAACTTCTCACCCTATCTCTAAGGGAGAGTCCAGCTACTTTGGAGGAAACTCATTTCAACAGCCTGTATCCATGATCTCATTCTTTCAGTTTCTATCCAGAGCTCTTGACAATAGGTGAGAGTAGGAACGTAGACTGACCGGTAAACCGAGAGCTTAGCCTTACAGCTCAGCTTTCTCTTCATCACAACGGACCGGTACAGAGTCCGCAATACAGCAGATGCTGCACCAATCCGTCTGTCAATCTCACGCTCCATTCTTCCCTCACTCGTGAACAATACTCCGAAATACTTGAACTCCTCCACTGGAGGCAGAACCTCAACCTCAAGAGAGCAATCCACCCTTTTCCAACTGAGGACCATGGCCTCAGAGTTGGAGGTGCTGATTCTCATCCCTGCCGCTTCACACTCTGCTGCGAACTGCTCCAGTGAGAACTAAAGATCACGGTGCAATAACACCCAACAGGACCACATCATCAGCAGAGATAGAATCCTGAAGCCACCAAACCAAAATCCCTCCACCACCTGGCTGCACCAAGAAATTCTGTTCATAAAAGTTATGAACAGAATTGGAGACAACGGGCAGCCCTGGTGGAGTCCAACTCCCACCCTGAAGGGGTCTGACTTACTAAGGCAATGTGAACCAAACTCTCGCACCGCTTGTATAGGGACCGAACAGCCTGTAAGAACTGGCCCCAATTCTATACACACAGAGCACCCACCACAGTATACTCTGAGAAACATGGTTGAATGCCTTCTCCAAGTCCACAAATCACATGTATACTGGATGGGCAAACTCCCATGACCCCTCGAGGACCCTAGTGAAGGTAAAAAGCTGATCCCGTGTTCCATGGACAGGACAGAACCCACAATTTTCCTCCTGGATCTGAGACCAGCGATTGGTCTCGCTGTTCCAGTACC